GTGTCATCATTTGTGGTTGTCTCAGACTCCCTTAGTGCTTTACAGGCTATACAGAAATTTGATACACCTCACCCCTTAGTCCTCCGTATCCAACTTTGGCTACGCCGCATCTTTACCAAGCAAAAAGATAGTTTTTTGTTGGGTCCCTGGTCATGTTGATGTACAGGGCAATGAACAGGCAGACACTGCTGCGCGGTCAGCAGTACATGACCTACCAGTTTCATGTAGAGGTATTCCATTTACGGACTATTTTGCTGCAATATCTTCCCAACTTCACACCCGTTGGCAACAACATTGGTCTACTATGCTCGGCAACAAACTTCAATCTATTAAACCGAGTATAGGTTACTGGCCGTCTTCTTATCACCAGTGTCGAGGTTGGGAGACTACTCTCTCCAGTCTTCGCATTGGCCATACTCGTCTTACTCATGGATATCTCATGGAGAGGCGCCCTGCTCCTCTCTGAGAATTGCCAAGTTCCATTATCAGTCAGCCACATTCTGTTGGACTGCCCACTTTATCAACGAGCACGCAGAATTTACCTCCGTTGTCGTCTTCGCTCTGCTGCTCTCTCTTTACCTTCCCTTCTCGCTGATGGACCCACCTTTCATCCAGACACTCTCATTGACTTTTTGACAACAACTAACTGACTTCACAAATTCTGATACCTTCAGCCCTTTCTACTTCAATCTCTTGCTACCCTCTACCTCCGTACTATCCCCTGCCCCGCTGTTTTCTGTAACCTACTGATCATCCCTCCTCTCTTCTGCCATCCAATACCCTCGCTTCCTTCCCTACCCTGCAGCGCTGTATAGCCCTTGTGGCTTAGCGCTTCTTTTTTATTATAATATATCATCAGGTTGAATATCCAGATTGTGCTACTTTTTTATTGTCATGGTGCTGAAGAATTTGTTTGGACATTATACAGTACAGGTTGGCCATCACTGATTCAGCATCATTGGGACCTGCAGTGTGCCGGATTAGAGTGGGTAGGTTAGAATACACTTAACCTATCAGTAGACTGTCTACTACATTTTCATCACTGCTTTCTCCTCCACTGGCTTACTGCTGTATATTTACAACCATGTGCACAGTTTCCGAGTCACTGTAATGATGAAATTTGTCAGTATAATGACAAAATTTGAAATTATGCTAGCCGAAATTAGTACCGGATAACTGATGGCCGACCTCAGCTAGCTCTAAGTATTGTATTTCCTATTTTTTTTCTGGTTCATTTACTATATTCCTTATGACTGACTTGTTTGGGTTATACTAGTGCATCTGAATTCTGAAGATTTGTATGGCAGCGATTACAAGCACTGAATAAATATCAATCGTGCTAGTTTCTTTGTTAGAAGTAGCGTGTACAATAAGAGGATAACTAGTATTATTTATACAAATATTAAATAATTCTAAATTCCTTAAAAACTGGCATCCATGGGACCAAGATATACCAATTTGTTCTCAATAATACACTTTGAATATTGAACTACTATACCAGTTTTGATAGTTAACCCTAGTAGGCTTAGCACTTTGATTATAACAACCAAGTCTTGTCACTTAAAACACAGGCACATTCCCTCTCCATTTTTTTCTGGGTGCAGAAGAAATACATTATCAGCTGAAACAGGCACACCAAAACGTTTTGTACCCTCTTCCCCACTCAAAATGAAAGCCAGCTAAATAATCTAATAAATGTACTCGGTAGATTAATTAGAATATTTTTTTCCATTAGGTTTTAATATTAAATGTCATTTGGAATTTTTTTTTTAAGTAACTTGTATAGCGTTGGGCTGAGCTTGGAAAATGTTTTATTTGAGGAATATGTCGGGTGTGTTTATTTCTATATTGGACTTTATTGTACATGTGTAAATAATGCAAATTTAATTTGATTATAAAGTGGTCGTATCAGGTCTCCCTCACTTTATTCCTCAAATGCTCCTGTCTTATGGCACAAAAAGCAAACCCTCAAAAAAAAAAAAAAAAAACATGTAAAACATAGGGGAAGGGGGTTTAGTTCTCAAATTTCATGTTTACCATACACCAAATGGTCATGTCTACTAAAATTAATTTTAGATAAAATCCAAAATTCAGTTCAATCCCTACACATAAAAAATGAACTTTTCCCAAATTTTTTTAAACAAAATTATGACCCTATCAGATAGGTACCAAATAGTCAAAGAAAAAAAAATCTTTGATTTAATTTTCTTTAGTTCAAAATTAAATAGTATTCCTCCTGCCTTTTACCTTCCATCACTCCCTCCTGCCAACCAACTAGCCAGTCATTCTAAATTAAAAGTGCGCATATTTACATTATAATCATGAGGGAAGTGCTAAACCCATAGGATTCACATTCACAAAGCTGCAAAATAGTGTTAATCAGTTTAAAGGGATATTTAATGACTATATAAATTGTTGGAGTGTGAGCAAAGTAACATTTATGAAGGGGTTCAGGGAAACCGGCAGGCCGGACTTGAGTCCCGGAGATGGGAAGTGCAGTGCCTGCACTCTGAAGGAGGGGTGTTAATGTTGCAGTTTAAAAACTAGTGTAAAGCACCCTTCTGGCAAGATAGTGATGGAGTGAATGATGGTGAAAGTTTTTCTTTTTCAGGCCACCCTGCCTTGGTGGGAATCGGCCAGTGTTTAAAATAATAAATTGTGGTGCTGGGCTAGGATAGTTACACAAGTAAATCTACTGCATGTGGAAAATTAACGGTAGAAATGTTCACACGAGTGAAACCGTATAAAGTAAGGGAAACCTTTATTACTAAATGATAGTGCAGTGAAATAAGTAAACCATGTGTTGAAATTATTATAATTGAGGGGGAAGTGCTCCACCTGTAGGGTTATGCAGCACCTGTGGGGGGGATGTCTAAGGTATTCAGGCTTAATTTGGGGAACTGGAGCACAAACTGTTGAAAACTGAATACTTAACTTGATATTACCATACTTGCTCCGTTTAAATATGAATTACAGAGTCGTGTGAAAAATACTGTAGCATATTAATCTAAAATTGTAAGTGAAACTTTGGGATATCAAAAAATTAAAAGTACATTACAATAAAATACAGTACTTTCTTCACCCTTTCACCACCAAGATGCATTTTCAGTCCAAGTGGGGTGTATGACCACACCACCTGACAAGATTGTAGTTTTCATTTTTTGCTTGGGGCCTTTATGCCCTGCAATGACTGAACAATACCCTTTGCTCTTGCTGTTTGTTGTGCATTAACATGGCCCCCCCCCCTCATCAGCCATTACATTACATGGTGGGGAATTGTCTTAGTTGTTGAAGTGGCATTTCCTGGAGAGGCAACATCTCGCAAGGCCTAAACTGTTTTGTGCTTCTGCTGTACATGGAGACATATATATATACTGTGGCATACAAGTTTCACCAGAATTGCTCATGTAATATTCCATATGTAAATTCTGAAGTTGTTGGATTGTTTAGTTGGGGAGATGACCCCTGAGCCTGACCTTTACCATATAGAAGGCAGGAGCATTTTGAGGATAAAATTGTGAAAAAACTTATTTTATGGCATTTGTTTCCATTTACCTGAAAGTTGGGGGCTGCCCCTGGATTTATGGCTACTGGGCAACACAGACAAGTAAAACAGGAAGTTCAGTTTTTGTACATAAAGCTACTTGTTGCATTGCTCTTCTGTCTGATGTTGGGCAAATTGGCTGTCTGCACATTTTTGCTGCCTGCAATATCTATCTGCACAAGTTTTCACCTGTGGTTTACTTTGTGGATGGAGGACCTCTGAGGAAGGTGGGTCCAGGTGGATTGATGCTTAACCTGGCAATCTTCAGTGCACTGGGCCAAGACCAAACAGGAATCAGAGGATGGGCACCCTTTTGGTCTTACACCTACTTTTGTCAGATTATGCAGATATGGTGAGATGAAGTTTTGATACTACTGTGTATGAGTATTGCTAACAATTCCTCTGCACCAGTCCTAACTATTGCTTCAGCTTTTCCATTCGCAGAGAAGATTTGAAAGTCAACTTTCGGATATTCCAGGACAAGTACTGCTATTTCAAATGTTCGATACTTTACCTCCTCACCATAAGAAGCTTCCATGTTGCATTCTACTACTTCATGAGGTGTATGGCCCATCAAAAATTCTTTGGGGTTCATTCAGGATGCATTGTGGGATACGAGTCAGCCGAACCTCAACAGATCCAAGGGTTATTCAACGTAACGCAATGGGGTGCACCTTGTGCATATTAAGGATGTTACTCTACCAGAGGATCTCTCAAATGCAAACTGAATGGTGCGACAGTCCTTTGCTCAACCGTTTTGTGAAATAACATTTACCGAGTGTACTATCTGGACTGCAACATCTACCAAATATCTGAACATGGCTTAGAGCTTCACATTTAGCAGGTCACTAGTCTACACATTGTCCTACCTGTGCCTTCCCTGCCCATGACATGGCATGGCATTTTGCAAACTGTCCACCTCTCTGGTTGATGAATAACACAAGGGTAACTCCTGGTTGTTGCACTTTTCTTATTCTTCAACTTGTCCTTCAGGATGCAACCCACAACAGTAATACCAAGGTACAGCACCTATTTACTTCTAGTCCCTAGAGGGAGGCTCCTTAATGCTGGCGAGGGGCTCTTGATCTAGGGAATTGGATCTGTGCTCCCGTTACCTGAATACCTTCCATCCTCCCCCCACAGGCATTGTATAATACTATGGGTTTAGCGCTTCCCCATGATACTGCTAGGTGAACAGGGGCAGCAAGTGTAAGGAAGTGTGCCCAGCACATCACCCATGCCAAGGATCGATCTCAAACACTCGGTATGAGAGCTGAGGGTGTTACCAACTATGCCAATTCTTTGCATCACAGTTCCCCTCACCAACATTAAGGAACCTCTTAATGTCCAGTGTATTTAAAATTATTAAACAAATTTACGATCACTGATCTGATGAAGAACCAGAAGTTTCTTTAATACAATTTCATTAAAAAGGATATGTAAATTAAATTCCAAAATCATTTATTGAACTTTGTTTATATGATTAACTATAAAATGTTAAAGAGGTACCTTAGTTATTTAAAAGAAAGGTATTCAAACATTGGTGAAAATGCCCATTAAAATATATACATTTAAAAAAAAAAAAAAGAGAAATTTAGCATTCAGAGAACATGTTGATAAATTAGACATATGCAGCACTTTGGTATTTTTAATTAAGAAACGTTTCACCACAGTGACTTCAGTCCATACAAAGGAGAATGGTGAAGAACAGGAGTTTGAGGCTGAGGGACTGATTACCTCAAACTACTACTGTTCTTCACCAATCAGTCCCTCAGCCTCAAACTTCTGTTCTTCACCATTCTCCTTTGTATGGACTGATGAAGTCACTGTGGCAAAATGTTTCTTCATTAAAGATACCCAAGTACTGCACATTTATGAACTTGTCGGTTCTCTGAACCATTCATCTTCATTCAGAGAACATTCTTCTTCGCAAAATATTTACTAAAGAATTGAAGGTCAATGCCTTAAAGGAATATAACTCAGTTAAAAACAATTACGTACTTATAATTAGATACTGAATTTATAAATTACTTTCTAAACGCCTCAATATTCACATTAATTAAAATGTCTGCAAATTGTTTTTATTAAAATAAAAAATAGGTTGACCGAGACCATTTAATTCTTTATATAAACTGTGATCTCAAAGTTTAGTGCACAAAATTGTTTGTAATGCATTATGAAGCAATTTTTGTAAAAAAAAAAAAAAAAAAAAAAATTTAAACATTGCAACTAAGCCAGAATTATACATTCAAAACTAGAGATTAATTTGTCAATTAAAAAAAACTCAGTAGGGAAAAAACCTAAATTTAGGTACAGTGGAACCTCAAATATCGAACTTAATCCATTCCAGGAGCTAGTTCTAAATTCAAAAAGTCTGAAAAGCAAAGAAATATTTCTCATAAGAAATAATGGAAATACAATTAATCCGTTCCAGAAACGAAAAAAAAAAAAAAAAAAAATTTAGAGATTAATTATAGTTTTACATACAACAAATATAGTGTTCAATTATGTATTAATAAATTTAAATGAACATAAAATAACATTTTTACTTGCCTTTATTGAAGATTAGTGATGGCATCTGGAAGATAGGGAGGAGGAGAGAGGGAGTTGGGGTTAGTGTTTGGAAGTTGAATCCCCCTCCATGAGGACTTCAGGTATTAGACTTTTCTGGGGTTACTTCCCTTCTCTGTATTTTATTGCCACTAGGACCAGCTTGAGTCACTGGACCCCTGTCTCACTAAACTGTCTACAGTCTGTTTCTGTCTCACAAAATAACAGTCCACAGTCCTCTGTACATCCTGGCAAGCTCAACTAGTCTCACACCACTCTCATACTTCTGTATTATTTCCTTCACATCTATGGTGTTTCTCACTTTTTTTACCATGGGGTACCACTAGCAAGTTTATTTGGGCCCATGGTAGCTTATTTCACAGTCCCACAAGCACTAAACACAAAGAAATAATCGTAAAATGTTTGAATGAGAGCGCAGGTTAGTGTTCACTCAAGCATCAACAAAACCAGACTGGCTCACAGCGCCTGCACGGGGACGCGGACAGAGTGGGCTGCCGGACAGGTCCAGTACCCGGCGGTTTGAAAATAGGGGCGAGTTCGATAATAGGGACAAAGTTGGTTCGAAAAAAGCGTTCGATTTTCGAAAAGTTCGATACATGATTTGTTCGAAATTTGAGGTTCCACTGTATATTCTTTCCATTAATTTTTTTTTAAACCAGGGTAAAGTGATATACTAACAGGGGTTACACAGTCCCTGGGAAATGGGAGGCAGTCAGGTTTGATCTGATGTGGTGGATAAGTCGGTACCTTTGATCAAAAGCCCTTCACCAGCATCCAGGTACCTCCCATGGGGCAGGGGGGTGGAATGGAGGGGCTTTTATGCTGGAGGGGGATTCCTGATCAAAGGAATTAGAGGACTTAACCTCATAATTTAGTATAAAGGCTGCCCATAAATCCTTCCATAATGAGGGGCTTTCTATAAAGTATACTAGTTTATGTCAATTACTCTTAATAGTATATTCTTTTTGATTATAATAAAAAATCTTAATAGTATAATATACTGTACACTATAGAAATAAAGTATTTTTTTTTTCTTGGATCAAACAAATGCCTCCCATTCCTCACATGATATATGACCACTATGGGTTTAGCACTTCCCCCGTTTAAAAAAAAAAATCGGTATAAAGAGCATACTTAAATATAACACTTTCCACTGCAGGGAACAACTAGAAGCAGCCCTGGTGTGGTGGTCCCTGGTAAGCATTACAGATCTGACTCTTGAGGTCTGCCAGGGAATTCTTCAGCTGATTATCATTGTAGTGCTGACGAGAGGAAAATATTTAAAAGTAGATATTAAAAACTGATTTTCCTACAGAGATTTTAAAAATTAAAAAAAAAATTCTACTAGAATTCTTTACATTTCTCCATTTTACCAATGACAGAAATTACAAATTTATGATATGGCGAACATTAAAAAAGTTGAAATAAATGGATTTATAAATTCCTTACCCCATCAATGACAATCGTTGGGATGAAATACACACGTGGTTTCAATGCAGATGTACGGATGCCATTCTTGTAGAGCAAGCTAGACCCAACAGAACTCTTGGAACATTCATCAATTGGTGCCCACTCAATCCGTACGGTTTTACTGCACTGAGGGCCACAAAATGAAGACTTAATTTCTTCCCATAATACACAAACCTTAGCCAGTATAAGGTATATACAAAAAATAGCAGAACTCAAAAATGGCACTAATGCACATCTTATTATCATGTCTGGAACTGATTTGAATAACTTTATAGCTACCACAATCCACTATGAGGCCTGGTCACCGACTGGGCCGCAGGGGCATTGACCCCCAAAACCCTCTCCAGGTATTACATTAGAACCAGTTCCCGGACCCATTAAGTGCCTCTGTTCTTTAGTATTGTCCATAAGATAGGTACGAATTGCAAAAAGCTATTAAACTAAACCATCCTTTTCTTAAGATACATCACTTAACTCTCAAGCCTGTGTACAAGATCATCATCTCTAATTAGAGGCAAAGCTATGCATGTGGTGTTCCATTAACCATTTTAAGATTCACATCTTTTCCTGTGGATGAGACTACCTCCGAGACTGGGCTATGAGGGCCCTGACTTACAGAAGGAACTCCAGGTAACTGTCCTTTTGGCACAGTTTTCTTGTGTGCAGTTCCGAAGGATACTAAATAATCATGCATTTTTATGATCATTTATGTTGCTATTTTTTCCCCTTTTGCCAGACATTTTAGATCTTTAATCTTACGCAATTTATATAATACTGGGATCCATTTTTAGTATGACTGTGCTTCTTTCATATTTTATAGGGGACTGACACCTAACACCAGGTAGATATTCAAGTCTAGGGCTAATGTAGGCTTTAATGGTTCTTGCCATATTACCATCGACATACCTAAATACTATCTGGAAGTCTGCAAATATGTACTACAGCACAAAGTTTGCTTGTGACAAAGGTCACAAGCAGGTGACAAAGATCATGTGCTTTATCTGAGATTTAAGAGTTTGTAATAAACTTGAGTCATAGCCTTTTTTTTCCTTTCATTAACTCCCATCAAAAACCTTTACAAACAATTTCCTAACATTTAAATATCCCATTTAGCTTACGATTTTTTTAATCCTTGTTTTATGAATTACTACTGTGAGAAATTACCTGCACGAGGTAAGCGAGACAGTCACAGAACTCCCTCGATGCCCACCCCATAACCACTCACAGTTTGAGAATAATGAGATTATTATTATAATCAAAAAGAAGCGCTAAACCACAAGGGCTATACAGCGCTGCGAGAACAATACGAAAAGAACTTCAACTGAATTTTATTGACTTAAGACTCAGGGAGACACTAGTCTGTCCATCTATCATGCAGGAAGAGTCACGTGTCTATGGTACTTCCAACAAAATAAGCAGACTCTTGGATGTCACTACTGCCCGGCTCCAGTTGGGTTATAAGTATCTTTGGGAGGTTAAATCACCACCACCAGATGAAGACCAAACGAAATGTAAACTCTGCCAGATGGACTATTGTCACACCCTGCGTCATTATGTACTGAGTACGTTAAAATTAATGAATTTAGCGAATTCACTCAGAAATGTTCAAGAAATGGCAAGTATTTTATCCACAGTGGTACATTACAGACCATTCTGGTAAAATACAGACTTTGCTCATTGTAAATAAAGCATTGCCACGTGTGTGTGTGTGTGTACTCACCTAGTTGAGGTTGCAGGGGTCTAGTCCAAGCTCCTGGCCCCTGTGTACTCACCTATTTGTGGTTGCAGGGGTCGATTCACAGCTCCTGGCCCCGCCTCTTCGCTGATTGCTACTAGGTCCTCTCTCTCCCTGCCCCATGAGCTCTATCATACCTCGCCTTAAAACTATGTATGGTTCCCGCCTCCACTACGTCACTTTCTAGGCTATTCCACGGCCTGACTACTCTATGACTGAAGAAATACTTCCTAACATCCCTTTGATTCATCTGAGTCTTCAACTTCCAATTGTGACCTCTTGTGTCTGTGTCCCTTAAGAACATAAGAAAGGAGGAACACTGCAGCAGGCCTGTTGGCCCATACTAGGCAGGTCCTTTACAATTCATCCCACTAACAAACATTTGACCAACCCAATTTTCAATGCTACCCAAGAAATAAGCTCTGATGTGCAAGTCCCTCTCAAATCCAACCCTTCCCACTCATGTATTTATCCAACCTAAATTTGAAACTACCCAAAGTCCTAGCCTCAATAACCCAACTAGGTAGACTGTTCCACTCATCAACTACCCTATTTCCAAACCAATACTTTCCTATGTCCTTTCTAAATCTAAACTTATCTAATTTAAATCCATTACTGCGGGTTCTCTTTTGGAGAGATATCCTCAAGACCTTGTTAATATCCCCTTTATTAATACCTATCTTCCACTTATACACTTCGATCAGGTCTCCCCTCATTCTTCGTCTAACAAGTGAATGTAACTTAAGAGTCTTCAATCTTTCTTCATAAGGAAGATTTCTAATGCTATGTATTAGTTTAGTCATCCTACGCTGAATGTTTTCTAACGAATTTATGTCCATTCTGTAATATGGAGACCAGAATTGAGCTGCATAATCTAGGTGAGGCCTTACTAATGATGTATAAAGCTGCAGTATGACCTCTGGACTTCTGTTGCTTACACTTCTTGATATAAATCCCAGTAATCTATTTGCCTTATTACGTACGCTTAGGCATTGCTGTCTTGGTTTAAGGTTGCTGCTTACCATAACCCCTAAGTCCTTTTCGCAATCTGTATGGCTAAGTTCTACATTATTTAACTTATAAGTGCTAGGGTTATAGACACTCCCGAGCTTCAGAACCTTGCATTTATCCACATTGAACTGCATCTGCCACTTTTCTGACCAAGAGTAGAGTTTGTCTAAATCCTCCTGAAGTTCCCTAACATCTACGTTTGAATCAATTATCCTACCTATCTTCGTGTCATCGGCGAATTTGCTCATATCACTAGCAATTCCTTCATCAAGATCATTGATATATATTATAAACAACAACGGGCCCAAGACTGATCCCTGTGGAACGCCACTTGTTACTGATCCCCACTCGGATTTAACCCCATTTATGGACACTCTTTGCTTCCTGTCTGTGAGCCATGATTCGATCCACGAGAGCACCCTCCCCCCAATGCCATGAGCTGCTACTTTCTTCAACAGTCTTCGGTGCGGAACTCTATCAAATGCCTTACTAAAATCTAAGTAAACAATATCAAATTCTTTATCGTGGTCAACAGCCTCAAAAGCTTTACTGAAGAAAGTTAATAAATTAGTTAGACAAGACCGGCCTCTTGTGAATCCATGCTGAGTATCATTAATCAAGCTATGCTTATCGAGATGGCTTCTTATAATCTCAGCTATAATTGACTCTAGCAACTTGCCTACAATTGAGGTCAGGCTTATTGGGCGGTAATTTGACGGTAACGACTTGTCCCCTGTTTTAAAAATAGGAATTACATTAGCCATCTTCCACATATCAGACACTACACCTGTTTGAAGAGATAAATTAAAAATATTAGTTAATGGTTCACAGACTTCCATTTTGCATTCCTTAAGAACCCTTGAAAAAACCTCATCAGGACCCGGTGACTTATTTTGCTTCAGTCGGTCTATCTGCTTCGCAACCATTTCACTAGTGACTGTGATGTTACATAATTTATCTTCTTCTGATCCACTATAAAAATTAATTACTGGAATATTATTAGTGTCTTCCTGTGTAAAAACTGTGGAACATCCCGTCTTTGTCCACCTTGTCTATTCCGCGCAGTATTTTATATGTTGTTATGTCTCCCCTGACCCTCCTGTCCTCCAGTGTCGTCAGGCCGATTTCCCTCAACCTTTCTTCGTAGGACAATCCCCGTAGCTCTGGGACTAGTCTTGTTGCAAACCTTTGCACTTTCTCTAATTTCTTGACGTGCTTGACTAGGTGTGGATTCCAAACTGGTGCTGCATACTCCAGTATGGGCCTGACGTAGATGGTATACAGAGTCTTAAACGAATCCTTACTGAGGTATCGGAACGCTATCCGTAGGTTTGCCAGGCGCCCGTATGCTGCAGCAGTTACCTGATTGATGTGCGCCTCAGGAGATATGCTCGGTGCTATACTCACCCCCAGGTCTTTTTCCTTGAGTGAGGTTTGCAGTCTTTGGCCATCTAAACTATATTGTGTCTGCGGTCTTCTTTGCCCTTCCCCAATCTTCATGACTTTGCATTTGGCAGGGTTAAATTCAAGGAGCCAGTTGCTGGACCAGGCTTGTAGCCTGTCCAGGTCTCTTTGTAGTCCTGCCTGATCCTCGTCCGATTCGATTCTTCTCATTAACTTCACATCATCTGCAAACAAGGACACTTCTGAGTCTATCCCTTCAGTTATGTCGTTCACATATACCAAGAACAGCACAGGTCCTAGGACTGACCCCTGTGGAACCCCGCTTGTCACAGGCGCCCACTCTGACACCTCGTCGCGTACCATGACTCGTTGTTGCCTCCCTGACAGGTATTCTCTGATCCATTGCAGTGCCTTTCCTGTTATGTGTGCCTGATCCTCTAGCTTTTGCAGTAACCTCTTATGAGGAACTGTGTCGAAGGCCTTCTTGCAGTCCAAAAATATGCAGTCGATCCACCCCTCTCTCTCTTGTCTTACTTCTGTCACCTTGTCATAAAACTCTAGTAGGTTTGTGACACAGGATTTTCCTTCCCTGAAACCGTGCCAGGATCTTGGACTCGACCCCTGCAACCTCAACTAGGTGAGTACACACACACACGTAGCGATCAGTGAAGAGGCGGGGCCAGGAGCTCGGACTCTACCCCCGCAACCTCAACTAGGTGAGTACGTGCACACGTGCACACACGCGTTCGTGCGCATGTTGGTGTATGACCCACTTAATATTTGTACTTATAACTCATTACAATTGTGACCGGGTGTGGAAGTGTCGGTGACTCATTACTTTGCAATTTGTTCATGACTGTAACCATGTATAAGAGCGTAGATGGTTCATTACCTTTGTAACTTGCCATGATTGTGACCAGATCTACCTGGAGTTCATTACCTTTGTAACTAGTTCAGCTATCATAACTTTGGGGTCCAGTCCCTGGACCCATTATGTACCTCTGTAATCTTTTGACTACCACCCACAGGATGGGTATGGTGTGCATATTAAACTGACTCCGTCTGCACCATTACATTCCTTACCTGCCCATACAGTCTTTCACCTTCACTCACCTGTTCCCCAGTAGAAGCAGGATATGGCTTGCTCATCATACAGTGGAAAAATTCCATCTGAGTGTGGATGGGAAGAGACTCCTGGGCGCATGACATCACCTTGTTGCCATAGCACTCGTCAGGACCGTGCTGACACTCAAACTCGTAGTCTCCAGTCCCTGTCGGTGTCGCCTGTAACAAATACAAACCAAGGATCACTCGACTTTCAACTACAAAATACTTGTCAGTTGTAGTAGTAGTAGTAGTAGTAGTTGACATTTACCGACAACTTTCATAGCATAGTCACTCAAGAGTTCACAGGTATAAAATGCACTTTCCTAGATGAACACCTAAATTAGCTTGCAACTATGTAATACAACCACCCGTTATTGGCTGAGTGGAAGTAAGGCAGACAGATTGAGATCCGGAAAGATACGCAAAACTAGCATTTGGTTTTTCAAACACCAGTGTCATGCCCTAAAGCGCTGTGACCTTTTAGGTCACTTAGCATTATTAGCAATAAAAACTAGATTCATTTTGGTCGCTGCACGAGCCAAGAAAGGTTATTCCTTATATTGCAGAGTGCAGCACAAGTAATGCCGTCACATATCTGCACAAGATTCGAATAGGCATTCACAAGTATGAAAATTAACATCTCAAATCATTAAAATTTAAAATCAGGACATACAGGCAAAATCTAAATCAAAACCTTTCATTAAGAAACAGATTTTAAGCTAAACTGAAGAGGATTTTTTTATTATCTCTGATCAATTTACTGAAAATAAAGTATCTTCAAATTTCAGAAGGCCGTAGAAGAAAAAAATATTTTTCAAATGAAAGGCAGGGTGACTTAAAAAGAAAAATGTATACAGGAGAAGGGGGTTATTAGCCCCTTGTTCCCAGCATTGTAGTCGCCTCCCACGACATGCATGGCTCACAGAGGAAGAATTCTGTTCCACTTCCCCATGGAGATAAGAGGAAATAAACAAGAAGTAGAAGAAAACCCTTTGTGTGTATATATGATTGTATATGCATGTGTTGGGTGACCTAATTAGCAAAACGTACCTGAAATCTTGCACATTTATGAGAAAAAAAAAGACACCAGCAATCCTACCATAATGTAAAATTACAGGCTTTCGTTTTACACTCTTTGCAGGACTGTAGTACCTCCCCGGGCGGTTGCTGTCTACCAACCTACTTAGAATATAAATGTATAAATGAGAGAAACTATTTCAAATTCTCAAAAAAAGTAATGTCTTATAGAATTGTAAAGAAACATCCAATTTGCTAAAACTGCTTTAAAAACTGGCAAATTGGTACTAGACACCAAAATCAATACAAACATTTTAAACAGAAGAGATTCTCTAGTAACCACAAGGGGAAACTATTTAATAAAGTTGGCAAACTGAAATTTACACTAGAAGTGATGTTCATGTTCTGTTGTAGATTTAGTATAATCGCCCGGCCCGGGCCTTGGCTCCCCCGTAGGGGGTGTCTCTTACCAAGTCTGCCATGGGAAGGGACAGGTACCCTGTCTTATGGGCCACTGTCCCCCGGGCTAGACCCATTCCCGCCCCCACGAGGTCGGAGGGGAAGCAGGCACCTTGGGTTGCCACAAATCCGCTCACACCAAACCAAAGGGGGGGGGCAGCTGATAGCAGCAACTATGTCGGTCCCTTTTTGAGTCCATCCCCAGTTAGGGCATTAAGCCCCGAGCATTGGGGAAGAAAAAAAAAAATAATTCTTGTGGTTGTTGTTTCTGTGTACTGCTTTTATACTACACTTGTCCCCTGCCTCTAGTAGAAGTGAGCGTAAGTTTTGTAAAGTCCACCAATGGTGAAAATTTTAAGTTAAAATTTTTTTTTGCCAAATGTATATTGAAATTAAAATAATTAATTTCCCCCTTATATACTTAAAATTTTTTTGGAGTTTTCCCGGAAGGGGGTTCCGGGGGGCAACGCCCCCCGCGGCCCGGGCTGAGACCCGGCCCCTGGTGGATCAAACCCATCAACCAGGCGTTGTGCTGGCGCACGAAACCAAATACAGCCACGCCCGGCTGATCCGGAACTGACTTTAGGTGCTTGTCCCGTGCCAGCTTGAAGACTGCCAGGGGTCTGTTGGTAATCCCCCTTATGTGTGCTGGGAGGCAGTTGAACAGTCTCGGGCCCCTGACACTTATTGTATGGTCTCTTAACGTGCTAGTGACACCCCTGCTTTTCATTGGGGGGATGGTGCATCGTCTGCCAAGTCTTTTGCTTTCGTAGTGGGTGATTTTCGTGTGCAAGTTCGGTACTAGTCCCTCTAGGATTTTCCAGGTGTATATAATCATGTATCTCTCCCTCCTGCGTTCCAGGGAATACAGGTTTAGGAACCTCAAGCGCTCCCAATAATTGAGGTGTTTTATCTCCGTTATGCGCGCCGTGAAAGTTCTCTGTACATTTTCTAGGTCGGCAATTTCACCTGCCTTGAAAGGTGCTGTTAGTGTGCAGCAATATTCCAGCCTAGATAGAACAAGTGACCTGAAGAGTGTCATCATGGGCTTGGCCTCCCTAGTTTTGAAGGTTCTCATTATCCATCCTGTCATTTTTCTAGCAGATGCGATTGATACAGTGTTATGGTCCTTGAAGGTGAGATCCTCCGACATGATCACTCCCAGGTCTTTGACGTTGGTGTTTCGCTCTATTTTGTGGCCAGAATTTGTTTTGTACTCTGATGAAGATTTAATTTCCTCATGTTTACCATATCTGAGTAATTGAAATTTCTCATCGTTGAACTTCATATTGTTTTCTGCAGCCCACTGAAAGATTTGGTTGATGTCTGCCTGGAGCTTTGCAGTGTCTGCAATGGAAGACACTGTCATGCAGATTCGGGTGTCATCTGCAAAGGAAGACACGGTGCTGTGGCTGACATCATTGATATTTAAAATTATATCCAAATAAAAATCAATAAGTCATTTAAAATATGCTTTACTGTATTAAAATTTTAACTGTAGGTTCGAACTTATGAACTCCACGGGAGATAAGTGGAGTTATCTGGCTGTGGTGCCGGAGACGTACATTCACAAAGCAACAACTAGGTACAAAGTTTAAGTTTAGTATGTTTATTATGCACCCCATACCCATCCTGTGGGCGGTAGCACAAAGGTGACCTATTTTAACATTCATAATGTATTCCCCCCTCCCCCAAAAATAAATAAAATATATATATTATATATAATATATATAGATATAATATAACCAGTTTTCAAATAGCATCAGCAATAACACTCACCCTGGCCTTACCAAAGGGCACAAACACTAGATCCATGATATCCCGCAAGTCCAGCCACGTCGGATACAGCTGGTGGGTGAAGAAGTGTACAGAGTCGGGACAGAGAGACTCGAAGTATACCTCTATCTTCACACGGCCTCCGACGCCAGACACCTGTAACATGAACATCAGACAGATAAAAACACCCGTCACACTTCTGTATCATTTGCAGATGACACAAATGAGCATGAAATTCACTACGGTAGAGGACAAGCAGAGTTTTCCAGTGGAGAACATGACGTTCACTGGTGATAAGTTCCAGCTGCTTAGGTATGGAAAGAATGAAAAAAAACGAACACTGGAGTTTACCTGGAGAGAGTTCCGGGGGTCAACGCCCCCGCGGCCCGGTCTGAGACCAGGCCTCCTGGTGGATCAGAGCCTGATCAACCAGGCTGTTACTGCTGGATGCACGCAAACCAACGTACGAGCCACAGCCCGGCTGGTCAGGAACAGACTTTAGGTGCTTGTCCAGTGCCAGCTTGAAGACTGCCAGGGGTCTGTTGGTAATCCCCCTTATGTATGCTGGGAGGCAGTTGAACAGTCTCGGGCCCCTGACACTTATTGTATGGTCTCTTAACGTGCTAGTGACACCCCTGTTTTTCATTGGGGGGAAGTTGCATCGTCTGCCAAGTCTTCTGCTTTCGTAGTGAGTGATTTTCGTGTGCAAGTTCGGTACTAGTCCCTCTAGGATTTTCCAGGTGTATATAATCATGTATCTCTCCTGCCTGCGTTCCAGGGAATACAGGTTTAGGAACCTCAAGCGCTCCCAGTAATTGAGGTGTTTTATCTCCGTTATGCGCGCCGTGAAGGTTCTCTGTACATTTTCTAAGTCAGCAATTTCACCTGCCTTGAAAGGTGCTGTTAGTGTGCAGCAATATTCCAGCCTAGATAGAACAAGTGACCTGAAGAGTGTCATCATGGGCTTGGCCTCCTAGTTTTGAAGGTTCTCATTATCCATCCTGTCATTTTTCTAGCAGATGCGATTGATACAATGTTATGGTCCTTGAAGGTGAGATCCTCCGACATGATCACTCCCAGGTCTTTGACGTTGGTGTTTCGCTCTATTTTGTGGCCAGAATTTGTTTTGTACTCCGATGAAGATTTAATTTCCTCGTGTTTACCATATCTGAATAATTGAAATTTCTCATCGTTGAAATTCATATTGTTTTCTGCAGCCCACTGAAAGATTTGGTTGATGTCCGCCTGGAGCCTTGCAGTGTCTGCAATGGAAGACACTCATGCAGATTCGGGTGTCATCTGAAAAGAAAGACACGGTGCTGTGGCTGACATCCTTGTCTATGTCAGATATGAGGATGAGAAACAAGATGAGAGTGAGTACTGTGCCTTGTGGAACAGAGCTTTTCACCGTAGCTGCCTCGGACTTTACTCCGCTGACTACTACTCTGTGTTCTGTTAGTGAGGAAATTATAGACCCATCGACCGACTTTTCCCGTTATTCCTTTAGCACGCATTTTGTGCGCTATTACGCCATGGTCACACTTGTCGAAGGCTTTTGCAAAGTCTGTATATATTACATCTGCATTCTTTTTGTCTTCTAGTGCATCTAGGACCTTGTAGTGATCCAATAGTTGAGACAGGAGCGACCTGTTCTAAACCCATGTTGCCCTGGGTTGTGTAATTGATGGGTTTCTAGATGGGTGGTGATCTTGCTTCTTAGGACCCTTTCAAAGATTTTTATGATATGGGATGTTAGTGCTATCGGTCTGTAGTTCTTTGCTGTTGCTTTACTGCCCCCTTTGTGGAGTGGGGCTATGTCTGTTGTTTTTAGTAACTGTGGGACGACCCCCGTATCCATGCTCCCTCTCCATAGGATGGAAAAAGGCTAGTGATAGGGGCTTCTTGCAGTTCTTAATGAACACGAGTTCCATGAGTCTGGCCCTGGGGCAGAGTGCATGGGCATGTCATTTATCGCGAGGGTCACCAAATAGAACGAAAGGAACACGTGAAAGGCCTGGGAATAATTGTGTCAGCTGACCTTTCTTTTAAAAACTAAGACAAAAATCACGACAGCCTGGAAGATGACTGGTTGGGTATTGAGAACTTTCCAAAGAAGGGAAATATTGCCGACGGTGACACCTCAAATCTCTTGTGCTCCCTCATTTAGAATATTGCTGAGTGCTGACGGCCTCGTTCAAAGCAGGAGAAAGAGCTGGAACAAATACAGAGATCGTTTAAGGCTCACTGAGCCAGTAAATCATCTAAATTACTGGGAACACCTTCAAGTCTTGAACATTTACTTATTGCAGCGGAGGAGAGAAATACATAATATGTATATACCTGGACAGTACTCTAGGGCCTGGTCCCAAATCCGCACACTGCCATAACTACATACCGCAGTGAGATATGGGAGAAAGTGCAGAATAAACTCTGAGGAGCAGGGGTGGTGGGGACAAAAAGGGAACACTGAATCAACATCCGGGGTCCCAGACTATTCAACATTTTACCACAAGATATCAGAAACACGGCTGGAACAAGTGTAAAAGTCCCCAAGAGGAAACTGGACAACTATCTTCACCAGGTACCAGATCAACCAGGTTGTGATGGGTATGTGAGTGGGACAGTGGGCCTCCAGCAGCAACAGCCTGGTTGACCAGGCAAGCCCCAGACGAGCCTGGCCCATGGCCGGGCTCCGAGAGTAAACTCTAAACTCTTCAAAGGTATATCAAAGGTAAAGGTAAGGAAAGTCAGTGCATGTGTTGCTAAGAGCAACTGTACCTTCTCTCCGAAAAAGTCACTGCATTACTGATATCAAAAGAATATTTATGCAAGAACTTACCAAGAAATTAAATTTACTAGACTTCTAGCGAGCAATACTGACAGTAACAGTATTATACAGTATAACACTTGAAAATTAGACATGTGCAACATTTGGGTATCTAATGTAGAAGTTTCGCCATCCAGTGGCTTTATCAATACAAATTCTAGGATAAATTTGAAGACTGCAGAACTATATACAAAAGATGAGGTAATCAGTCCCTCAGCCTCAGAGTTGGTGTGAAGAGCACGGTAGTTGTGCAGAATCTTTCCTCTACTATCTGCAAGACGTCAGCGTCGACGACATCGTTCCCTCCTCTTCGAACACAATCACACCCAGTGGATTAAACCGTTAGGTACAGCAAGAAATTGGGTGGGTGACCATGGGCAATCTTACTTTTTGCTAGGAAAGCCTACACAAGTTACAGGTTCTTGTCCCTGACAGTATTCTATATATATATCCACACCAAGATAGGAGGATGGACTTATTTTATTATTTAGCAAAATTGTATACACCAATGTGCTAACACCTTATTCTACAAGTTACATAGTGGGAACAAAATTCAGCAGTTTCCCCTGATATCTACCATCACACCGATAGGTTACATACATAAATTCTGTCACCCTTAATGGGAGGGTTTAGTAGGAGAATGGAGATAAAGTCCCTTAGGTTCATCAGCTACAGGAACGGATTTGGATCCAAAAGAGCTGGCATAACTTCAGTAATTATCACCTCAAGACTGCCTATCCCATACACTGATTATTTTTCTTATTTATTCGATTTACGAAACACTAGAACCTTTATTATTCACCGCTTTAAAAACATTCAAGAACTTCATCAAATTTACACTATTAATGACTGTACTACAGAATCAGACCAACTTTCCCCCTACCTCTATGGGTTCATGAAAGGTAAAAAGTGTGCAGAACTGTATTTCCACCTTTCTCACTGCACACACCTCTACTAGTTTTACCACTTTTCTTTATCTAAAATCTGCATTTGATATTGCGAACAGAACCGTTATACTACATGAACTAGCCAAAATGAATATTGGTGGTAGCTTACTCTGCTGGATAATAGGATACCTGTCAAAGAGTATCCTCTGTCCTTTACCAAGGCTTCAGAAGTGATTCTGAAGAAATGTCTTTAGGTACACCGCAGGGAGGAGTTCTTAGTCCCATGCTATTTAATATTCTGATTAATGCTCTCCTAAATGCTCTACCTGCCTCACCTAAACATAGCTATAAGCTATGCTGATGATATCATGATCCATACAACAGGGCATAAGAAGATGAATACCATTCTTAATGAAGTTCAAGCAATTTGTAATCGACTAGGCCTCACAATATCTTCCTCTAAAACAAAGATTAACAAGCAAACGACACCCCCCACCCATCTATTTGCAGGGTGAAATCATTAGCTACGTTAAAACTTGCAGATATCTTGGTGTAGATGTACCCTTTAACAAATCCACTATACCACAACTAAACAAGAAATGCAAAGCTAGGCTAAATGCTCTCAAAGCTGTTGCTGGCTTCAATCCCAACTATGGTGCTAATGTGAGAATCGTGAGAATGATGTACATAGCCTATGTTAGGTCCTTAATTGACTATGCTGCTCCCATGTTGATATTAGCTAGAGAAAGTTCTCTCCGACCCTTGGAGTTAATGCAAAATGAAGCTCTCAGGATTATTCTTGGCTGTCCCAGATCTACAAAAGTTCTTAACATGAGGAAGGAGCTTGGTATTTCTAGTATCAGTGATAGGATTGTTGAAATTAACACTGTACTCTGTATTAGAATGTTGAGAAACGAACCAGACACTGTCACAGTGAATCTTACCAAGTGTCTAGAGGTAAATGCACACAGATCTAAATGGATTGTGAAAACGTGCAATTGCATTAAGCTTTATAACCTACATGAACTGTATCACTGTAGGCAACAAGAGCATTTCACCCCTCCATGGAAGATGTGTTCATTTAATATCACATACCTACAAGTCCCTCCCAAGAAGCTCATTGCTAGTAATCCCTTCCTTAAATCTCTTGTTATAGCAACTGCTAAAGAAGAAATTTCTCACCTAGCCGGTAGTAATAAGTTATCACAAGTTATACACACTGATGGATCTAAACAGGAGTCTTCTGGCAGGGCTGCATCTGCTCTTGTTGCCACCTCCCTAGTTAAGAACGATAATAAATTTGTTGAGTTAGGCATAAGAATTAACAACTGGGCGTCTACACTGCAAACTGAATTGTTTGCAATCCTAATGGCGCTAAAGCTAACCTATGACACTGAGCTTGACTATCATCATTACTGATTCTATGTCATCATTGAAGGCTCTTGACTCGTATAATGACTCCGCAGTACATATCCATGTCATCGCCCAGGAGAGTGAGCAAATTTAGACAAAATGGGGGGGGGGATTATTTCTTCCGAAAAATGGTGGGTTCTTAGACAGGAAAGCATCCTGTGGGGCGAGTGGCATCCCTCCCAGAGAAGCTTTCTATATTCCTAGGCAGAACCCCCCCCCTCCCCGGTTAATAAGGTTACAAAGCTTGGCGGGGGGGGGGGGGGTGAAGCGATACAAGGGGATGGTGGCTATGCCTTGGAATCAAGAGCCTTTCATCAAGACCCTGGCAGCAACAGACACTAAGAGGGGAGAGCGGAAAATACTCGAAGTTGTGCGAGGGTAAAACTAGCTCCTAGTGTTTCCTACGAGCTACTCGCCTGTGTGAATGCAGAAGTCAAGCGTAGCACACACTAATTATCCAGTCCGACCACATTCTCAGTGGTGGCAACTTAGGAGTCACTGCACTGATTTTTTTTTCAATAAATTCATTCTACTTTTATATCTTTGGTCACTATAAATACTGCATTAATACTGTGTACAATGCTAGCGGCTACCAGTAGCATACATGCAACTGGGTCTATACCTCTGCACACAACATTCCACACGTGAATGAAAAAAAAAGTTCCGACCCAGGATGGACCAACTACAGGCCGGTGGGCCACTCATATTACATAAATAGCAATTTCTAATACTGCGAGGTATCTGATCAATTTAGAACTTTAACACGTCTTCGCCCTCACACAGGCTAGTTCATTATTATTATAATAAAAAAGAAGCGCTAAGCCACAGGCTAGTTCAAGTATACCTGGATGATCTTTTAGTCTGGCCCGCAAACAGATCTTTTGTATATATACCCTCTTGTGAGCTATCAGCTAATTTTATCAATTTTTGAATCCATGTAGCTTCCACTGGAGTTTACCTGGAGTTTACCTGGAGAGAGTTTCGGGGGTCAACGCCCCCGCGGCCCGGTCTGTGACCAGGCCTCCTGGTGGATCAGCGCCTGATCAACCAGGCTGTTGCTGCTGGCTGCACGCAAACCAACGTACGAGCCACAGCCCGGCTGATCAGGAACTGACTTTAGGTGCTTGTCCAGTGCCAGCTTGAAGACTGCCAGGGGTCTGTTGGTAATCCCCCTTATGTGTGCTGGGAGGCAGTTGAACAGTCTCGGGCCCCTGACACTTATTGTATGGTCTCTTAACGTGCTAGTGACACCCCTGCTTTTCATTGGGGGGATGGTGCATCGTCTGCCAAGTCTTTTGCTTTCGTAGTGAGTGATTTTCGTGTGCAAGTTCGGTACTAGTCCCTCTAGGATTTTCCAGGTGTATATAATCATGTATCTCTCCCTCCTGCGTTCCAGGGAATACAGGTTTAGAAACCTCAAGCGCTCCCAGTAATTGAGGTGTTTTATCTCTGTTATGCGCGCCGTGAAAGTTCTCTGTACATTTTCTAGGTCGGCAATTTCACCTGCCTTGAAAGGTGCTGTTAGAGTGCAGCAATATTCACTAAATGAATTCACTAAATGAATTGAACAATTAGACTAGGCGCTTTCTAACGTCTGTTTACTAGTTAGTGTTCAGCTTCCATATATACATCATGACCATGTCTCGCGTCTTGCTACGGAGGGTCAAGCCTCCACCACCTGTGCTGAAAAACTTTGGGGATTTAGTACTCCCCAGAAATATTACCCATGTCCACCCTGTCAGTTCCCCAAAGGTATTTTACGTCATCGGGCACAGAAGTGTACTAGATAGGAACATGTTATAATTATAGTTATTAGAAAACGCTAAAGCCATCGTGATGCTACAGCTCCCAGGGAGCTATATAAATTATGCAAAATAGTGGGTAGCATTAAATCATCGCAAAAAGTTCTTTAGAGCCCTTCGTCAGCATCCCCCCCCATCCTTCCCCCTTCTCTCTTCGAAGGGAACGGAATACAAGTGGAGAGTCACACAACGGATGTTAGTGTTGGTGGCCTTGTCAAGGGACCAAGATGTGGCCACACCTGCCTCACCCATAGCAAGGGGGGGACGAGAACAGCCAGTACGTGGTGGGGACGGACAGGAAGCCTACCCACAATAAGTGGCAGGCATAGAAGAGAGGAGCGGCAATTTTACTTAGGCACAGGTACACATACGTTACTATTATTAATACATCCACGAACAAGTGATTTTAAGCAAATAACTGCACTGACCAAGACTCGAACCCTCGAAGTTTAACACGCCACCCTCGTAGCCTGTCAAAATTCGAGACGCCCTAAACCACCAATGTCACATCAGGTGCCTAGTAGCACTGGACACGTCACTCCTGATGTGGACATACGTGGCTGTGGAGCGACATGTCCAGTGTTACTGGGCACTAGATGAATGTGACACTGGTGGTTGTGGTTTAGGGAGTCTCAAATTTTGACAGGCTACAAGGGTACAGTGCTAAAGTTAGAGGGTTCGAGTCTAGGCCAGTGCAGGTGTTATACGTTACTATGTATAGTAACAGTACTTTTGTAAATTGCCCAAGATAACCCCGAAGTCAAACCTACTTATTTCCACTGGGGTCCTCGTAATAGCTTATTTAAAGCTTAGCGGTAACTTACAGTAGAAATCAGTCATAATAACCATAAAAATAAAGCGGCTAAGTAACAACTGTGAAAATCAATTACAGTAAAAGGATACACAGTAGGAATAAAGCGAGTTATTTACATGAACATTAAATGAAGAGGAGCAGCTTACAATAATAGGTACACGAATGTTAACTATACAAGAAATCACATCCCTAGAGTGGGAGAAAAGGAAAAAAAAAAAAACAGAAGCGGGTCATTAAAAAATCTGCAGGTACAGGAGGATGGGTGTGGTGGGTAGTAGAGGAAGGCCAGCATAATTAAGGATGAGGCAAGAGGTTGGGTGGGGCAGGATACGCACCCACCCCCATAGAGATATCCTTGGCGAACCATTCTCGCACCAAGAGCGATACACCTGCACTTAAAACATTTACTGGTGCTGCTCGGCCAGTGTTGCCAGACTGGTCACCTATAAAGTTGCTAAAACTCAATTAACAAAAGTAATAAATCTTAATTAAGTACAAGATAGTTACCGCATTACATTCAAGATATTGCCTTGTAAAGTTCATGATTTTAAAACTAACTAAATTTTAAACCTGACAGTAAAGATTCTGGGTTAAGTACCTGGTAGGTAAAAAGGGTGTAGTGTAAAGAACTTGCTCAAGATCATTAACATAAAACAAAAGATTACGAAACCTAATATGTCAGCTGTACTGTACTTTTTTTTTAACCAGCTGAGCTTTCTCTCCCGTTTGTGCATTTAGTGTATATAGACTGCGCCTGGTCAGACCACGCTCCTTCCTACAACACAAATACGCCAAGGGAAACGCCATTTAATTTCATTTAAAATACTTATTAAAATTTCCGAGTCCCTATTAGTGGAATGTGCTTTAGAGGTTTCCACACCTGTAAATTGGACCTACTTTATGCCATTTTAAATTTATACGGTCATGAATAATATATATTTTTCAGGCCAAAATTTATAAATTTCATAATATGCGCAAGTAGGGTGGTAATATTTAAGATAATCTATAAAGTGTGTTTATCCCAGTCATAAGTTGAAAGATGATGTCCCTGGTTGACGATATGAACATTTTCCCGTTATATATAAAATACAAGAAAGTGTCCCTTGCTTCATTCAGGCAATATTTTGTTCCTTTTAGCGAAAATAAACCCGCTGCTGGACTGCAATGGTTTGAGATCAGTACTACCACCCTCTTATTGATATCAACAAATCCGGTGGTGCCATAGGCCTATCAGCCGAATGAGTTTACCCTGATTAATTTCTAGTATTAATCATCTTAGAATTTCATTAAACGGGGAAATTTTCACATGTAAAGGGAGTTGTCCCGAAATTAGATGTATGGTTTGAATTAAATTTAAATGTCCTGGTCAATAACTCAGGAAGTATCTCCAGGGAGGGATTGTACGAGTGTTCCCCCTCCCCTTTCCCCTGGCTAGCACATCTTTCAGAGATGTGAAGTATTTTGTGCATTGAGAAAAGGCCTTAATATCCATCTTTAATGGTTCATCTCTCTCTGCGGACAAAATATTGTTATCGAAACCTAACCAGAAAAGAAGCCAGTGTTAAATTTAAGCTCTACAACGTGTAAATATCTACGTCGGATAGCTGGCGTCTATCTGTATGCTACGAAAGCCTTTTCTGATATACCCAAAAGACCACCAGATATTTACAAAGTAACAGGAGATTTAAGACGATTTGGGCCGTCTATACATCTTGCCCTAACCATGATGCTTCCCACATACAGGTATCCATTTATTATACGAACTGGGGATACTTTATACACAAAAATTTTAATATATATACAATATATTAATATATATATATATTATATATATATATATATATATATATATATATATATATATATATATATATATATATATATATATGCAATAAGATCACAGTAAACAGGTGATTTCAGAATATGCAAAACAACCACTCTGAAAGAATAGAGAAATTCCAAGCGCTTTCGTGACTACTCACATTATCAAGGAACTATGAAAGTAAAGCATCCAAGGAAGCTATATAAGGGGTCTGGCCGGCACCTCACTATCAGATCCCACAACGGTTTAAACACCTGACGCGCGCCGACCCAACTTGGATAGGTCCTTGGCACAACTCACCCCACAAACTATTCTACCCAAGAAATAAGAAATTTTAAAGATTATTTGTCCAGTGTATTATTAAATTCTTCCCAAATTCTATTAATTATAAATGGATCTAATTTATATAAACCAAAGGAAATATTCATATTATTGTCAAAACTGCTTTTTATGAAACAAGATTCAATTATATTCCTGTCGACCATGGACTTGCTTGATACTACTTTCTCAACTTTTTGAAAATCAATTGGATGGTTAAAATCTCTTACATGAATAAATAGAGCATTGGAATCTTGTCCAGTTCTAATGCTATATTTATGTTGTTTTAATCTTAGTTCGAGATTTTTACCAGTTTGACCGTAATAAACTTTATCGCAAATTTTACAAGGAATCTTATAGACACATCCATCAGCATTTTGGGGGGAATTCTTTATCAAAAGTTTTTTTACTGTATCAAGATTTTTGAATACAACTTTAATATTAAAAGTCTTAAGAAGAGAAGGCATATCAACCAAGTTTTCATGGTAAGGGAGAACCAACATATTTTTAGTTGAATAAGGCTGGTTGTCCCTTTTTGGATTGTAAAAAGTATTTCTAGCAACTTTAAAAGATTTATCAATTACATTTCTTGGGTATTTTAAATCATTACCTATTTCATAAATTTTGGATATTTCCTCATCTATGAACTCAGGACTACAAATTCGTAAAGCTCTCAGAAACATTGATGAGAAAACAGACAGTTTGACTATCTTGATGCGAGGAATAATAGTGGACATAGGAACAGTTGTTAGTAGGTTTTCTGTAAATTTTAAATTTGAATTCATTATTACCCTTAATAATTAAAACATCTAGAAAAGGCAATGAGTTATTTTCTTCAAACTCAACAGTAAAGTTTATTGAATGGGCTAAGCTATTTAATTTTCCAAGGAAATGGTGTATATCTACATTTTTGGGCATAAGACAAAATATCATCAACATATCTGAACCATTTAGCTCTATTAGGGAGGATTGTGTTAAGTAACCTTGTTTCAAAAAATTCCATGTATAGGTTACTAAGAACAGGTGAAAGAGGATTTCCCATTGCCATACCAAACTTCTGAGTGTAAAATTTATCATTAAATACAAATTTTGCATCAACAATGCAAAGTTTAATAAGTTTAATGATAGTAGGAACTGGCAATGGTAAATCATAGTTAACGAGTTCTTCAGATAAGAAACTTAATAAATCATCAACAGGAACTTTCGTAAACAAGGAAGTAACATCAAAACTAACCATGTTAAAATCATTTAAGTCAGTCAAGGAGCTTAATTTATCAACCAAGTCTATGTTGTTTTAACATTAAAGTTAGAAATTTTGCCAACAATAGGGCTCAAAATATCAACAAGCCATTTGGATAATTTATATGAAACTGACCCTATGGAGCTAATAATTGGTCTGACTGGATTCTCTATTCTTTCAGAGTGGTTGTTTTGCAATTATTAATATAATTATATATATAATATATATATTTTATATATATATATATATATATATATATATATATATATATATATATATATATATATATATATAAATATATAACTTTCATGTATGTATTTTACTGAACGAGAATTGAACCCGGGTCCTTTCAGTTGCTAGTCGAACGCTCTACCAAATATAGATCACACTGATATTGTTCCCTGTGTTAGACAACTGGCAGTCGATACGTATCGTCAGATACAATAATATCAGGACATTTTTTGCATGTAATACACGTCAGCCTCGGCTGTGGCACTGCATTACAAACGTTAGGAGCTTCCGTGGTAAACCTACGCACATTATACATCAGTGGTTTGCTCATCATGTTAATAGAATGTAAATGGTTGCCAATGTATGCACCAGGGCTCCATAATTCATTTACACAATTTTTTTATGAACAATTACCTCTTATTGTGTTTTCAAATTATTCATTAAATCTTAAGATTTAAATTAAAATCTTGCGAAACAAAGATGCAAGAGTAATTATAACCATTTCTGGTCCAGGCTGAAGTACTTACGTGTGATACAACCTGTGGTCCGGGGACCCCTGGGGGTCCGCAAAGGTGGTACTGGGGGGGGGGGTCCCCTGAACCAAGTTCAAAATTTCAAGAAGCTGCAGTGTAAAATATATAATTACTCACGATTAAGGCTGATATAGAAACTTTCACGATTTCAAAAGCGGATTTCAAATCTGCAGGAATAGTCTTAATTTTTTAGACGCTCTTTTAAACCTGATTCATTTACTCTTAAAACTGTGCCACTGAACCTGGAATTCGGAAATGTCAAAGTAGCACCAACCATCTCATTCAACAAGTTTTTTTTTTTTTTTAATACCGTCATACTCAGTTTCTTTTAATCGAGAGATGAAACCGGGAAAACGAGTTTGTTGCTAGTTAATAAAACCGGCTTGTTGAGTATACAGACTTCAAAAGCCTGGGGTCCGTGGGAAAATTTAAATAAAAGGGGGTCCTTAGTGGTGAAAAGGTTGGAAACTACTTCACTATATGCACAAGCATTCAATAACATGCCAGTCTGGTGTTTTGACTTTCTTCGAATACAAACCACAATCTCATAAATGGATCCCGACAAGTATACCGACTAAATCGCTCGTGCTGCAAATACTAAAATATCCAACATTACAAAAAAATTAGAATTCAAGATACCCGACTGCAACTTTTTCAAGGAATGGGCAGAATTTGGACTAAGAGTACCAATCCTTCTTTACCTAACTGAAGCAGTCAATTCTCAGATTTGAGGAGCTCTCTGTCCATGTCGACTGTAGAGCTATCTCATATCCAGTCTGCCTATAATTTGATGCTCTCATTACCTTTCTCTGTCCTATAATTTTTTCTTACACAACCTCCAAATTAGTTTCCCAGCCTCTGCAATTTCCCTTCAGAATCTCTTCAAAGAACTGTCATCGGCAAAAGAGCAAATAACTCCCACTCTGTACCAGAGTTACTATCTTTTAATCACACACCTCTCCAACACCCTAGCATTCACTTTACAACCTCTTCTTTAAATGCTAAATAACCATAATGAGATCATACATCCTTGGTTACGTATTACTATTGCTGGAAAAAAATCTTACCCCCCTCCCCACATACCTTAACCTGCGCTTCACTTTCCACGTATAGCTTTTTACCGTTTTAAGTAAAATCTTATTCAAACATTTGTGACATCTGCCACATTCCTCCCCTATCCACCCTATCCTATGTCTTTTCTATATCCCTAAAGAGCAATACAAAAAAAATCCTACCATTATCTGAAGGGCGTTATACATCCATGCCCAATTCAAGAAATCACTGCTCTCCCCCTCCAGC